TCCATCCATCCATCCATCCATCCATCCATCCATCCATCCATCCATCCATCCATCCATCCATCCATCCATCCATCCATCCATCCATCCATCCATCCTGTGAAAGCATTCTCCCTCCAAGAGCAGCCCTGATGCCTCATCCAATGTTAAATCTGCTGAATTCAGGAGTGCTGATACTGGCAGTGATAAGCACACATGTGTGAGGAGGGATTTCTGCGATAGACACTCTTATCTTTGAGAAGCTCGATTGAAATMATCAGATTCATTTTATTCCATTCCACAAGAACACCAAACATYAGCTGTGTAGCTGTGTTGATAAGCTCTTATCAAGCTCAGCAGCACGCTGTCATTTCAGATCTCTCCAGTTGCTGTCCTGCCATCCATAAAATCTTTCCCCAGATGGAAACTGTCTGTTCTCCCTCTGAAAAATTATTGTAACATTTAGCACAACTTGCAAAAAGAGATTTTTRTTTTATTTTTGTATACACAGAGATGTTGGTTGACACCAAATCTTTCACCAGCTCTGATGACCTGACTCAAACATGGCAGCACATGTTCAAGTGTGGGTATGGGGCAGTTCTTCAACAAAACAGCAATGAAAATGTTGAGGGTTGTAAAGCATGAAATGAGATTTAGATTAGAGAGAAGGAAGAAATATTTTTACCATGAGGCTGGTAAAACACTRACAGGTTGCCCAGAGAAGCTGTGGATGCTCCATCCCTGGAAATATTCAAGGCCAGGTTGGAAGAAGCTCTGAGCAACCAGATCTAGTTAAAGATGTCCCTATTTACTGCAGATGACCTTAAAAGCTCCCTTCATCCCAAACCATTCCATCATTCTATGTGCAAAGACTTTTTCTGAATTAAAGATGAAATTTCTGGGCTAAGGACCCCTAAAGGAGATATGTCTCTACTGAAATTGAAAATTAATTTAATTCTAATATAGTTAAATTACTTCTGAGGAGGAAAAACATTGGGAAGCAAAGAAACTGAAACAGAAAACTACAGAAAGAAGGGAAAGCAATGCACCAACACATGTATTTTGAAATGCATTACAAGCAAGCTATTCCTGCCTCCTAGAAACAAGGGTTAACAGCCACCAAACCCCTGCTCAGCTTAGTAAGCCCTGACTTAGCATGTGCGTGGTGTTTTGCTGTGTTCAAAGCACTGTGCAGACATTATCTAATTAATTTTCATGACACCCCTGCGAGACACCTGGGCTGGTATTGTTATCCCCATGTTCCTGATAGAGAAGCACATCTGCACATGTCTCTACTGAGCTCTAGATCAGATTAAATGACAGTATTTATGTACCTGCACAACTCATTTCTCTGTCCCAGACTGGTGCTCTATGGGAAGTGCCCGCTGCTTGTGATTTAAAGTTGCTTGTTCTGTGCTGGCCCTTCCCTGGAGTGTGATGAGCCATAAACAATTTCTACATTCAGAAATATCTTATTTCCTCATGGTGCACAAAGCATGGTCGCTGACAGGGCTGAGGAAGGAGAATTCCACCTCTGTGCTGGCCAGCTCCATACCCTTGTATGGAACAAACCCTCCTTTATCAGCACAACTGTGACRCCCGTCACTTCTGCAGAATGGATGATCCTCTGCCAGACCTGGCCTGTCCAGGGTGATTCTGCCTTCAGGAGGGTCCCCACCYACTCAGCCAAGGATTTCACACATTTTCCAGTTGCTGCATCTCGCAGCCTGACATACAGATTTAAACTGCTGTGGATTTCACTCCGTCACGATCGATAAGGCTGTGGATGAAGCAGCAGCAGAACGAATGGCAGCACATCCTTGAGCCCAGATGGTCATCACTGATGAGAAACGAGGTGAGGAGAACAGACAGGTGCTACTGCCCTGCAAATGCCCAGCAGGAATCAGCCAGGGGTGTGAACTGCAGGCTTTACACACTCCTTTACACTCCGTGAGCCTCAAACCCTGAGCTCCCTGAGCAAAGCAGGACCTTACCAACCTCTTCCTCACCCTACCAACCTCTTCCTTACCCTACCARCCCCATGGCACTGCTGGTTGAGCAAGCCCTCAGTTGCCACCAGCAAGAACATCTGAAGCTGGATGTGGAGTGGGAGCATAAGTGATGAACGATGTTTTGTTGAACCCTCCCTGTTCTGTGTCCCAGTTATGGGACACTTTGCTCCCCTCCACTCACTTTTCTCCCCTCCACTCCTCAGATGGTGAGGCTGCAGCACGAGTGTCTCCTGTGCCAGGGCTGCAGCGCTGAGGAAGTTGACTCACTGGGGAAAAAAGGGAGCACCATTGCCAAGCCACTCTCAGAAGCACACATTGCAAACCTCGACTGCCCRTTGCAAAACTCCCTCAAAATCTGAAAGCCTTCTTCCACTGAARCTGGAAAAATAAAACAATAGCAGGCTCGTTTAATCTAATACTTCTGTGAATTAATGTAGAGCTGAACTCAGCCTTGAATGGCTTCAGAGGGAAGGATGAGCCCAAGGAAACCCTCGCAATTTGCACAGAGGGAAATCTGAAGCAACGTCACCRCAGTCGGTGGCATCGCTTTTCATTTCCAGCAATGTAAAGGAGAAAAAGAATCTGGTTTCTGGAGTTCAGATCAGGACACCAGATGAGCAAGCCTGGGCTTAGAAGTCCTACAGAACTGAAACGCCACAGACAAAGGCATTAAGAAACACTTATTGTGATGTTCTTTCTGTTTACAAGTCCCCTTGTGGTCTTCTGAAATGGCCAGGGAACATTTTTAGCCACCCCCTCCAGGCTCCAGATTATGCCTTGGTTAGCAGATCATCTGGGCAGCTCTCTCTGTCTGTAACTCTATATGAATGACTTCAGTGACAAACAATACAACCATTCACTTTTTGTAAAAAAACAACCACTGCCACCAAATGTTTCTAATTTAAATATTTCTGGTTCTCTAGCTACTGGTTCCAATTTGGTATCAGCTACTGTCAGCCATAAATCCCAATGAATTTTGAAGTCACGATCCTGAATTGAGCTCTGCAAATGCAGAATTAMAAGGAGAAATTAATATCTCCAAAGAGGAAGTTGAGACAAAGAACCCATCACATCCACTTGCGGATTACAGAAGCTCTTGCATGGGTACTGCCATTTAGCAATGGTCAATCATCACATGTTCCAGAAAATGTGCATTCCTCAGCAAAGAAACAATATGAGAGTATCTGAGTGTGAAATCACTTTGGCTTTAACTCATGTTGATTCCTGGCATGGGACAGTTTATCCTGTTTTCTCGCAGTCAAAATCAGGTGGCTTCATCAAAACTGCCTATTTCAAATCATCCCTGGTCTATCCTAACTCCCAAAAATCCTTACCAAARTATGAAGTGGTCTGGAGCAAAGCTACACAAAGGACCCAAGGGCCACTTTAACGATTTACTCGAACAAGTGTYGGTGCCGGGGATATTCCCTGACAAGTGTTTATTTTGCTACGTCCCCTTCAGGACTGACTTGTTCCTTTTCTTGCCCTGGCAGTGTACAATTTCCTAAAACAACATCTTCACACCGAGGTGAGTGCAAGGAGCAGCRGATTTCTTGCACACATTCCACTGCATGTTCAAAACAGATCAAGGCAGATTGTTCCAATGATGGAGAAAGCCCTGAATTGAGTTAGCCTCACATGTAGGCTGAAGTTCTGAGCCAGTTCTTGCTTTATTCAAATCCATTCTGCCCATCCCTAATCCAAATGAGCTCAGTCATTAGGCTCTTAATCTGTATTTCTTGTGCCAATATTGGCCCCAATTCAGCAAGGCACTTAAATATGTGCTTAACTTCAAAAGCACAGTTAAGTCCCACTGATAGATTTGACTACAGGGGGATGTAAGCAAATAGCTCAGGGCTTTGCTAAACTGGGGCCTTAGTGACACAATCCTAGAAACATTTGTATTTTAACATGTTTATAGAAAATTATAACAATTAAGTGGAGCTCTTCCTTCCTCACATAAAAACAATCCAGGACTTCCTCTTTCGAAAAGCTTACAGCAGCCAAACTTTCTTTTCCTAACCCCGAGGTCAAGCGCTTTTCCAAGAACTCATCTTAACATGGTGCCTTAATTATTTGTTTCCTCTTGATGGCTCTGACACTTAYCTAAAAGCTCAGGTGAGCCTTAAAGCCCGTGGTGGGCACTTTTTTAGGAGCAGGGCCACACCATTATCTCCTGGACATAGAAAAAACTCCCTTTTTCACGGTCTGGGACAGCCTGGACTGCAGATTTAAAAATAAAAAAAGATCAAAATTTGGTTTTGTCCTATGCCACCATAATGTGTAACTTTCTGGGTTTCTTTCCAATATGTTTATCCATACAATGGGTTTGTGTTCTTCTCTCTAGGGGTTCCTCTTAAGGCAAGAGCAGGTTCTCTCTCTAATCCAAATATATATGCAGCATTTTGAAAAGCAGAGGCTGCTAGCCTCATTCTTTGCTGCAGAAATAAATTAATAAAAAAAGGACTGGAGAGGTGGCAATGAATTTGTTTCAGCCTTCAGCTAAAGTGCATTGCTTCCTTGTATTAACACAAAATCTGGAATATCCACTCAAATCCATGGGTCTGGATGGGGACTGGTGAACCTGTGCTGAATGGAAGAAGGATCAAGCCCTTTCTTTARAAGGTGCTTGTCTTCAAATCTGGTSCRTGAGAGCAACCACATGAGTGGTGTCACCTCTGGTCCTTTCAGCGATGTCACCTCAGGACCGCTGGCTTTGACTCTGACTGAAATCACAGCAAACTCCTACTTCAGACTGAAAGGGTCAAAATGCAGCTAAACCCAGAGATTTACAGAAAACCCTCGCTCCAACCCAAGGTGAGCCAAGGGGAGAGGAGCCAGCTTGTTCCCCTCACTGTCCCCACCACTGGCAGAGCAAATTGTCCTCGGGGACGGGCTCTGCTTGCATCCCACGGTGCGAGCTGTCCCTGCCAGTGGGGTCCATATTGAACCCATAAAGCTCTCAAAGCCCCATCACCCTGCCAGCCTGGCAGGGGGACCGTGTCCCTGGGTGTCAGCAGCCCCACAGGTCCCCCTGCCAGAGTCYGTCCAGGCAAACAAAGAAAACGCATCGCCTTCCACTTTAATAAAAGCCAAATGATGCCGTTTGCCAATTACCAAAACGGGGCGAAGGTTAAAAACCCATTGAATTATAACACATGTCACGGACCAAAGCTCCTATGATTAACAGTTCTGTGAGAAATTCATTAATTTCACCCGAAGCAAGCTGACAGAGATTGTGCTTAATGACAGAATGCAGGGCAGGGCGGCCGAGCCGGGAAAGAGAAAGCTGCATTAATTCACAACAAAATGAGATGAGGAAACCCTTTTTTCCCCCTTATAAAAAAGGAAAGAAAATAACCAGAGTTATACAGAGCGGTTGCATTTGTTCTGCTGSTGAAGATTTATCTTCATCATTTCTTGTTGGGGAAGCTGACAGCAGGAGAGAACAAGAAAAAGGGAAGAGCTGGAGTGGGCTACAAATCCCTGGGGCTTGTTTGGGGCAGCCAAAGGCCAGAGCAGGTGATGGTGTGGTGGCCAGGGGTGGCTCTCGGTCTGCAGTGTCAAACACCACACTTACGGAGGGAGGGAAACCCAAAATCTCCCCTGCAGAAGCAGTTTTGGACCGTAGCAGTGAGCATGTGCCAAAGTTTAACCAAACAAAGCAAAGGAAAAGCCTTTGTGCTACACTCATCAGAGAGCAAAAGGTGGTGACAAGAAGATTGGAGAGTGTGGGCAGCCAKGGGGGACCTGTCCACTATGAACACRGAGTTCATGTGGGATTRGAGAGATGGAAACTCCTGAAATTCACAATTCTGACAGCTGAATTGGGGATCCTGGGCATTCCTACCCCTTGTTGGCGGTTTGCAGGAGAGGAAGTGGCACCAGGAGGGATGGAGGACGGGACAGGTTTGGTGACCATGGCAGGGAAATGCCACTGAGGAAAAGCAGCAATTCCCACAAATTGCCATGCCAGGCAGGGTGACCCCCAGCTGACGTTTCCCACGCAGAGAAAAAGCCCAAATCCTGATTTTTGAGGAACCACTGACARAGGCAGCTCCAGCACACCAGGCCTTCTTCCTGCTCGAGTGATTGCAGGGTGGAAATTACACCTCTGCTTCTGCACACCCAATTTCACTGTCCGCTGCGTGAGGCCACACAGGAAATAGTAAAAGTATAATAATTTGAGCTATAAAGAACAAGAGAAGAACTAACCGGACCATTATATCTGGTCTAAGGATGCAGTGTGAAAATAAAGAGTGTCATTTTTACAGCA